AAGCACTAAACTATACTTTCCTTTGAAAATTGATAGTTTTCTTAAACCGATGATCGAATTCTGCACAAAATACTTGTATTCAATAATGATTTAAATGATATTGACGGAAAAAATCAGTAGAATGTTTTTTGTAACAAATAACAATACTCGGATATCTACTATATCAATCGTTCAGAGTCCAAACCCCCTCCCCCCCCTTTTAACTGGGTAAAGAGTGAAAATTTCGAATTTTCATTAGTAGCATTGAGATCAGCACCATCGAAAACCCTAGGGTAGCACAATGTTTTGATATCGCAGATTGCTGTTTTCGAGAAAATTTTCAGACAATGCCTGCCAAAAGTCTTGGAACACTGACATCAATTTCCAAGGTCAAAACCAATCATCCCCCTCTCCCCCACGGAACAATGTTGGTTTACTATCAAACGGACTAGGATTTTAGAAGGCACTTTCTTTTGCGCTTCTTTTATGATATTTCTCTAAATCATCAACATTGTTTGAGGGGGAAGGGGGCGGAAGTAGCAAATTTTTTTCATGAAAGGAATGAAAGATATCAAATGCAGCGTAAATTGGTGGGTGTTCCAAGTACTTTTGGCAGGCATTGTACATGCCAAAACTACTTGGAACACCCAGCAATTTGCGTTGGGTTTAGAAAAAAATTTTCCAAACATCACTGCTTCACGACCCCCACCTGACCCACCACCCCCTCCCCCTCCAAGAGCAATGTTGATAGTTAAGGCTATTCTCGTACACTCACCTAAAAACGTCCTTCCTAATCCCCTACGTCATTTTATAGTAAATCAACATTTGACCTTGGTTGAACTTGCCCTTAGAATGGCCTCCGGGTTTCCAAGACTTCGGCAGGGGTTTAAGCTTTGTTTGCCCTCTTTCTTACCAGCGACCCACTTTAAACTTTCACATCGAACAAATTATTAAGCTTTTTTCGGTGGATGATATGAGTCGTGGCAGAACCTCAAAAATGTTTGTCTAAGATAAACTTACTACAGCAAATTCAGTTTCTGTTTGCTGAGTGAAGTAGTAGAAGAGCTTGAAATTTTAGCTTTCGGTTAAATTTGGTTGTACAACTGCTTGCCAAGGCTGATTGTTAGATTCCGTAAAAAAAATTAACAATCAGCCTTGGCAAGGTGTTCTTTTTATTTCCGTAAAAAATGCGACAGAAAAAAACTTTCATAAACAGATACGGAATAAGCGTAGATCCAGTAAAATGATGGGAATAATAATTCTTTATGGATGGTGATGGTTTTAATGTTCTCTCCTGTTAGGTCTCCATCTCCAGTCCGAAGCCCCAGTCCAAGACGAAGAACACCATTCAGCCGAAGCAAAACACCAACTAGAACAGATGTTGACATGTCACCAACCAAAGATGACTCGTTTTCGCCTCGAAGATCCCCAAGCAAAGGAGATTCGATCAATGAAATCGATCCCGAGGCTGTTCGCGTAGCTCTCCGGGACTTCGCGCAAAAGATGCGTGACTTTGAGCGTGAGAGAGACGAAGCCTTCGCACAAGTAAATAGCCTTCAGAGGCAATTCTCAGAGGTAGAAAATGATCGAAACGAATGCGAGAAGCGAGTGCAGACATTGCAAAAAGCTCTCGAAGAAAGTGAGAACGGTGAGTTCAGATCGATTTTTGCTTCCCTTTGGTTCTTTTATCAAGCAATATATGAGTAGTTAATCAGAGGTTGTTTGCAGTGATGCGTTCTTAATTGTCTGAATAAAAGTCTCACACGGTTTTGTTGATTTTTCTTTTTGAACATCTTCAATGCAGGCAAACGAGGTGCAGATGGGAAGCTTAGCAGCGCTCAAACGGCGTTGATGCTACAAGAAGAGACTATACGAAGGCTGGAGCGTGAGAGGAAGAACATAAACGAGAAGATGCAGGCCCTAGAGACGAGTCTTGCGCAGTCCGATGCTGATCGAAGGCAGCTGAAAGATAAGGTATCAAAGCTTCAGCTCAATGACACCAAGGTCGAACAGGAAAAGGAGGCTATGAGATCTCAGATTGAGAATGCGGAATCTCGTATCACAAGAATAGAGTTGAAAAAGCGAGGCTTAGAAGGTACTGTCACAACCGAATATTTCATTCTGTCCTCTTCTGTTCCTTTCGCTTTTAATGCAACAGTATTTGCTGTTGGAGTTCTAATACTACCTAGATATCTCTAAATGTAAGATTAGGACGATAAGTTTGAATATTTAGCATTCTAGTTCAACATTCCGTGATTGTTAATCGATGCTATTGCAATGATGCCAAATTTATTACCATTGATGAATTCTTTGGTAGAATAACTTTGCCAGCGGCCTCTTTATTGAACCAACTTCTCTTGAATGTCATTGATTCTGTAAGCAGTTCTTGTCACCGAATCCCTCTCCTTAAGATTCCACTCAGAATCAAAACGTCGTGATATAAACACCTTGCAATAATTGGGTTTTTCTGTCTCTGTCAGGTGACCTCGAGCGCATTCGTCTGTCCTTGCAAGAGAGTGAGGCTGAGAAACAAGCAATGCGAGACAGAATAAATGATTTGGTGCAATCACAGCAACACCTCGAACAAAAGGCGACGTCGCTTCAGCTCACTGTAAGTAGGCTTTGTCCGACGTCTTGTTCGTCCTGTAGCAGTCGTTTGACTTGGAATTTCCTGGATCCTTACAAAAATGTCTTAAAAGAATGAAATAGTTTTGAGTTGGCAACCTGAAACTTTCCTCGAGCTTAAATTGTTTCTTTGCATTCTCTATATTTATCAATGCTTGTATAAACGTATTTCCTGCGAAAAGTGTATTTGTTTGTTGATATGTTTGGGATATTTCCAGGTGGAGCGGTTATCGACAGCGTTGGCCAAAACAGAAGAGGAAGAGCGTTTATGTAAACAAAAGGTTACCGAACTGTCGATGAAATTAAACGATAGCAACCAGAACATACTGAGCTTGCAAGAGCGAATTAGGCAGCTGCAAAGAGCTTTGACCACTACAGAGCACGATAAAAGGGTTCTGGAGGAGAGACTTGATACGCTGAAAATGTCGCAGGTTGAAGGGAAGAAAGCCAACGATGGCCTTGCAGAGAGATGCAGATCGCTGCAGAATGAGATTCACGATGCAGAAGTAAGTTTAAGGAATTGAGCTGATAACAGAGTTCAATCTACAAGCCAAATCTATAAATACAAATTTTTGACAAGAATGCCCTACTTTGTTTACTCTAACTCGTAACAATCGAATGGCTCTTAAAATCTTTCATTGATTGGCTATTGTCTTTTACTTTCGGTCCTCTACTTTCAATCTGGTCTCCTACTACCCGTCTCCTCATTTCATCCTTTCGTTCTCTTTTCTTCCGATTTTTTTGTTTATATCTCCTTCTTTTTTCCTTCTTCGTGGTTTTGAAGGAACCCTGGCTCGTTTCTTCTATCCGCGCACTAGGCTCCACAACAACCCCAATACAAATTTGTTGCAAATGTTGGTGTTTTAACTTCTATAGCTAATAACTTTTTTGATGTTTTAATCTTTGAAGATAATCTCGCTTCATTTAGGAAAAGAAATCGGAATTAGAAGAGCAAGTTCGTAAATTGCATCAAATGGTCCAAGCACGACAAGAGAGCGAAGATGATTTCGTCACCCGAGTAGGAAAGCTGCAGGTGAAATAATTTGCAATGTTTCATTAAAACAGACAGAATCATTCTGCTGTCCGATAAACTAGAAATTTAGTTATTCAAGCAAAAATGTTACCTTCATAACCATTGATAAAACTGACAAATCTTGCTTTCCTTTTAAATCTACAATTTCGGCACGTTTGCTTTGTTATTGTTTTCATTTTATCAAGGAGTTCCTTGGCATGCCTCTGTTCCACCGTTGATTGTCCCTTCTCAAACAAAGCCTTTTCGATTTTCAGGAGGACAAGAGACAACTCCAAGAGAAACTTAGTCAGCAGCAACGTGTTTTGGCTTCAGCAGAGCAGGAGAAGAGGGAGCTTGAAAGAGCCCAGGTTCGCGTTGAAAAGGACAAAAAGGCACTCAAGGCCACTCTCGATAGGGTATGCAGTTTTTTTCGATGACTTAGAACAAAGTTTATTTGGTATTAGCTACATAGGCTGCTGGGGACGTAGCCTGCGTGCAGACTCGGAAATTTAAAAGAGGAGAGAAAGTAGAGTCTGCGCAACAGAGCCGCTTTTCTTGTTCGCTGACATCAACATTTTATTCTAAGCACTAGAACAACAACCCATTAGCGTGCAATGTTTTCTGTAATTTTTGTTATTCAAAAGAACAAACAGACCTATTCTATTATCCTGACGCGGAAAAAGATTAAACTTTGTGAAGAGTTTCAGGTTGATTTGCCAAATTGCAAAAAAATCCTTGTTTGCTTCCATATTTCCCTTGCTTTGATAAATTACAGATGAGATACATTTCAGGTAAATTTCGGCTGTCTCATCCATTGAATTGTTCCAAGTTCTTTCCTCGTATGCGTTTCTGTTGCTGTACAATCAAACAGGGTCAGTCAGCCCCCTATTTATGTTTTTGGACTACTGGGATTTATTCACCCCTAAATGAACCTCGAGTACCTTGCAAAGCATGCAAGCGATAAATACGCAGATCATATGAAACTTAAGGGTATTGTGTCCGCTTAAAGTCATACATAATTTTACTTTGTCAAGGCCTTCAGTTTTGGTGTAGCTGGATAATGGAATGAATTGATTACAAAACATTGTACCATTTGTAGATTGAGAGAGACAAGCTGAACACAGAGGAAGAGCTTAGTAAAGTCAAGGAAGAAAGGTCTGCTTTAGACAGATCGTTGAATTCGCAAGATCAGGATATGCTTGAACTGAGGTCACAGATACAATCATTGCAGCAAACCTTGGCTGATACTGAAGACTCACATGCCAAAAAGTAAGTGTTTTATTCAGATTTCATCCTGAATTGGGCTTTTTGCATTAATTGTATCTGTAACTTGATTTGTTATGTCGTTTAAAAGAAATTGTTACTTTTTGGTTTGGGAAAACTCTGGAAAGATAGGTTTTAAGAGTAATTTTACCTTGAACAGGCTCAATGAAAGGTCTTCAATGGGAGACATCCCTTCCCTCCTCTCTTTCCTACCATCCCTTTCGTAGACAATTGTTTTTTTATAGTTTCTTTAATCAAAGCCTGTTCCAAAAAAGTAGCTAGGTGTACATAAACTGCGAAACCCTCCTGGGTGTCTCGCCTGGCATACATTTACCCCCCCCCCCTCCTTCCTTGGGTGACTCGCCTATCTTCATTTTTGGACTTGAGTATATTATGAATTGCCCAGGGTTGTTATGAAATTTCATGCCCCATGTGGTATTCTATAGTCTCCTCCATTCTAACCATTGATCAATTTGGTGTTTTGTTAGACTGATGGAGATTGCTGAGAGACACAGGGACGAGATCGATCGCGAAGCAGAACGGTCGAAACAGGCGCAATCACACTTGGAGAGAACCCACCAAGCAAGAGAACGTGTTCACAAGCAGAGAGTGAGGGGGCTTGAAGAACAGGTAACGTGTTCAGTTTTGTCTTCCCTGTTGATAGAACCGTATGTTAAAACAGTGTAGGGTCGTACTATAAATAAGGGGGTACTCCACTTCTTACAATTGTAAATGGATGTTTCGTTGAGGCTATGCGCTGAGCCTTTCTTGAATATTTATTCTAGGTGAACACATTGAAAGACCAACTGAGCAAAGAAATGCAACAAAAGCACTCGTTTATAACAAAGACATCGCAGAAATCAGATGAAATCAAAGACATACGCAGCAAATTGAGCGATTCACTGCACAGCGTTGCCCGCGAGCCAGCCGTGCTAGACCGCGAGACATTGAAGCTTGATCAAACAGCCGACCAGATTTCTGGTATTGATATCGGCGATTCAACATACCCGACCAGCACACCCTATTACGGAAACATGCGGCGCACAAAATCATCATCACCATCTTTAATCTCACCTGAAAAGCTGAAGATGTCCGGCCTAGCCATGACTCCTACAACTGACCCTGGTATCAGTCCAACAAAGCGTTCCACTCCAATCACAGCAGGCCTGAGAAGATCTGGCATGGTACCAAGGTCATCGGTCTCAAGCGCCCACAGCAAATCAAGAAAAGACTACCAATAGAAGATCGTTTTAGACTGCGCTGAACATATTAGCTACTGATTCGTTAATGGGTTAACATTTTTGTTATTCAGACTTTTTATCGAACGTTCTGTTGTTATTGTAAAGTGCAAAGTTTTTATCTGTTTCTACTTGGTTTGGAGAACGTATTTGTTGTCTTTCACTGATCGCTGGTGCAGCGTGTGTAGAAGGACAACCACGTATTGCACCGCTTCTCTCTCGTTTTGATGCCATTTAAATGGCTCTTCTTCCTGTGTTTTTATTTACATAGGCCTTTATTTTAACGATATGAAAAACAAAGCCTACTGTTAACCGTATAGCTTGGTATTTTGCTCCGAACTTGTGATCCAACAATACGCTGCAAACCATTTAGTTGATAGGGTTTTTAACTTCGTGTTAGATTTTTCAGCTGTAATTTGCGACTTAATTGTAAATGGGGGGAGTAGAGACTTTGATTCTATTGATTTTCACAATAGCTTATGACACAGAGACTGATTTTGTATATTTTAAGATTATGGGAGACGTAACTTTATGTGTACACTCTATCCATAGTAAACATTAGACGTAGTGATTCTGCGTGCTTCCGCGAGATACTGCAGGACACACGAGCTTCACAATCGATGATTAATTATCCGACCATGACAATGGTGCTCTACTCACAAAATATCTGGATTTTCAAATCTGTTTGCAATAAAACCTTAATATATTCAATTTTGTAAAACATTTCGTCCTATCTGATCTTAGCCATTTAATACTCAATCACACCGTACACCATTGATTATGAAGTTGTAAAAAGTTGGCGTCTTAGATTTGTGCTGTAAACATTTTGTGATTATCTTATCAATATAGAGAAGGAAAACCTAATGTTCAAGTGTTTTTGCCCCATCCTCATTTCTTCCCAGTGCATTTCTACTTTTTAAACCCAGTTGTACTTTCATGATACATTATCCATAACTTTTACAAATTTTTATCTGGTTAAAACTCTGTTTTTATTTTAAACTTTTGTCTAAGTTTTTTTCCTAAATATGCCCGCCTGCTACTTACCTAGTTCTGAAAATGTCATAGTAAATTCTATAAGGTCTTTCAAAACTTGTATGCTTTCTTGTTAGCTGGTTTTAAACTACCTTGAGGTTATTTGCATGCTTCTTGAATAAAAAAATATGAAGAAGTTCCTATACACGGCCTACTTTAAAAAAAATATAAGACAGGTGAAGAAATGGCCGTTTGACTGTTCGATCACGACAGATTTTTCAGAGGGACACAGAAAGACAACGCTTCATGGCAACTTGTATTAAAATCTGTCTGTCAAGTAGATGAATTCAAAACAGCTGACCTCATCTTTTCTTTAACTATAATCGCCAGTGTTGTCAAATGATGCGCTTCTTGATTTTAAATTTGAGCTTTGATCAACCTAGAAATTTTGAAAATATGACTGTTAATTTTCAGGATAAAAGCACCAACAATTTGGTCATTTTCATTTACTGTGTGACGTCATCAAAGCATTTCATAGGTGAGAGTGGTTTTTACTCTCATTCAATAAAGTAACAAATTGGAAACTTTTTACGGTGTGTTCATATTTTTACGATGTGTTCAAGAAAAGGGGACTGCCAACGGGGACACAGCTTTCTTTTTATGCATCAAGTGTTTACTCCTTATCCCACTGAACCCCTAGTAACGCTCTAACTGTTCTCAAAGGTCGGGTACAATCACTGCCAAAAGTCTTGGAACAATAACGTCAGTTTTCAAAAGCAAATTCAGCCACTCCATCCCCCCCAAGAAACAATGTTGATTTAATTTAGGAAGAAATGTTATTGAGTATACTTTTTCTTGTGGTTTGAATGGATTTTCCTAAGCTATCAACATTGTTTTGAAAAAGGGGAGAGGGGCTGGGAGAAGTAGTATTCGGGGAAGCAATTGAAAAAGAGAAAGGCACTGCGCAAAGTGTTGGGTGTTCCAAGTATTTTTGGCAGTGATGGCAGGTTATATCGAATGGCAAATAACGCACGAGAATACGAAAGCCTACTCACAGAAATCGCATGTTTTCCTGCAAATATCTTTCATGTCTGCTTTATGGCTTTCGCAGAAACCAGCTGCTTTCCAAGTACTACAGTATGGTCCTTCCCTATCAGTTGTGTCTTGGCAAGGAACTGTAAGAAAGAAACATAATTCGTTTTAATATTAATCAACAGTGTAGGGTTACTTGGCTAGAGAAAGAATAAAGGTAAAAAGGGGCACTTGTACCAAGATCCTTGGTGCATATTTGTGCTCCTTTCCATTCAATAGTGCGAATGAGCACCGCAACAGTTTGGTTTGAAATCGATCTGATCTTAGTTTTAACTAGCTATTATTTGGCAATTGTGATTCTTAAATTTTCTCCCCTTGCCCATATATTATCAGTTTTTTAATGGGACGTAATTGAAACAGCTCTATCAGGTTTCAAAGAAAATAAAATGTGAATCACCCAACTTTTCTTTGTTTTCTAGGGTTTCTTCACTGGAAAAAAATTTAATCCAAGGTAAGCTTTTTTATACTGTTTGATTTTATCTTATACAATGAAAAGCAAGCTGCTTGCAAATACATACCTGTAGGTGGCATGGTCGTTGCTGGAATTGACTTGCAGCTACCATCTTGGAAGCTGACGTCATCAATAGCAATGTCTCCTTGATAATTTTTGCCACGTATGCCTTCAAAAATGACCTGAAAGCGAGATGATTGGACAGTTTGTTTAAGTGATCAATTTAAAACGTACTATCCGTTAAAGCTTTCTTACGTTTCTTATGCCGAGGTCTTTCAACCTGATGATATGTTTATAGTATGACTAGTTTTAATAGTTCAAACTTCAATCTCTATCTAATAAAACTCATTTAAAACTCGTCGTATTTTCGAACATAGAGTATATCTCTCACCACAACACACTGGCTATTTCTAAAGCCCTCCTTACAATTTGAGACCAAGTTAGGGTTTGTTGTGTAACTGCAACTATGCTGGGTTCGACCCAGGTTAAGTCAACACATCTCTTGAATTGTGCTCATCCCTGGTTAGCTCGTGAAAAATTGAGTGTAAATGCAACGCCAAGAACTTTACCACCTTGGCAAAAAGCTTTCATCGTTTTCGTTTGCCTAGTGTAGGCAATCTCAGGGGCGGATCCAGAGCAAACTTGAAGGGGGGGGGCAGTTGCTAGTGGGGGCGCTGAAAATCTTTTAAAAATTGGTGACGAGAGTACGCTGTATACAACAATTTCAGATCTCTTTTCGGAATAAACAACATCACTTTGAGGTAATCCTTGAAGCAAATTAACCTATCGGTCTCAGAAACTTTTTCACCTGATGTTCATTCTTCAAAAGTGGCGCGCAATTTCCAAAAAAGGGGCGCCAGACTTGCTTCAATTCGTCGAGGGAGGGTAACTGCCCCTAGTTGCCGCCCTTAAATCCGCCACTGGGCAATCTAGCATAGATACAATTTGCTTATATAAGAATTAATAATAAGGGTTTCTTGTCTTGTATCTTTTGAAACCCCGATCCTTTTTTCCAAATTTCTTTATCAAAGGTCCGTGTAAAAATTTGTCTTTACGTATGGCTTGGTTGTACATATCTAGGGGCACTGGAAATCATCTAACGCTAGAAATATGCGAATTTACCTGATAACTTCCTTTTTTGCTTCTTGATGAAAGATTCAGCCTTATCTTTTTCCATTCATTGCCTTGACTGCCTGATAAAGAAATAAGCCTTCGCATAGATCCAGTTCTTGCCTCTTTAAGGTAGACGTTAAATTTTCCGATGTTGACTGGATCAGCAGAATACATATGAATGTAGAATGTCATGCACTTTTTCCCATTGAGCATTTTGCTGAGCATTCTTGCAGTATCATTTTCCACTCTAGGATACGAGGCCTCGATGTAAGCAAATGCTCCTATAATAGA